TTCAGTGGAACAGCATTAACTTGGAGTAGTGAAAAGTTACCTAGCTTGAATAGTTAGGGCACTTTGCTCAGAGATGAAAGCTGTAGGTTTGAATCTCATTGGGTAGGAAATGGACCTGTTTCTCCTACATCTTGGATTATTACTCTAACTACTATTAAATTATATAAAATAAGACTTTTTCCTTTTTTCATATTTTGGAAGTATGAAGCCTTTCTGGTCTTTAAAAGAAACAATGAGAGTATCTCCTCTGAAAAGAGTTCCACCTGCAAGTTCTAAGTGGGCATGGTCCTTCTGTTCAGTCTGCAAAGGGAATATTTAATTTCCTTGGTGTCTTCCTATATTCTTTACAAAACTTTGTAGTTTTGGGAGTGAGTTGTCAAGTTTTTCAAGGTCATTCTCATAGTCTTTTCAGTTGTTGAAATGGTTAAACGAAACATCCATAATACAGGTAATAAATCAGATGAAGAGAAGGGCGAGTAATCACTTTTAAAAACAGCTTGTAAATGTGCAGTTCTCTCAGATTTTCATGAGTCAAAATTTAAACTGGAGATAGTTGCATGCTTAAGTTGTATAATTTTCAAAATTGCTTTAATAATTTAATTCTGACATGAATTTAATGGAGTTGTGTTAATTTGCAACTGTTCCAGTTCTGCCCTAATGTTCAGATGTGAATGGTAAGTGGAAATCTTATACTGCCCTCCACTCCTAAATAGGCTTTTAATGGTATGTTCAACTGTAAGTCTGAAGAGCAAAAGTTGCTCATAAAAAGACTTGCAGGACTAATAGGATAGACTAGGATGCTCTATTTCCCCTATTTTTCCTCCAGTCACATTTTGGTGAATCTGATCTTATTTAAATATTTTAAAGCAATTCTGTGTTTGAGTATTTTACTCATGTGACAATGTTGATTAGAAATGTAGTCATTACTTTTCTATAAAATTGTGCTGGGAAGCATTCTAGTAAGGCATGAATATATTATACTAGTATATATCTATATACACACACTAGCATAATATATACTGTATGCTGTAACATATTCCTCTGGTTCTACTGTATAGGCTATTATAGTACTTTTGTATTGATACAAGTGGTTGTCTGTTCAGTGATCTCAGCAGTGGAGCTTCATGGTCTCCAGTGAGTGCTCAGGGACTCTTTCTCTGTGTCTCTGTCCTTCATAGAGAGCCTGGATTCCCATCTGAGTTCAAGCTCTGTGAAGTTTTCCTTACTGTTGCAACATTGAGAATTTTTCTATAAAATGCCTTGGTCATCTTCTCTGATACCAGTAATGCAATATGACAGTAGGATGTAGATGAGAAGGATATAGGTGACTGGACAAAGTATGGGGTGTTGAGGCCTGTCCTGTTGGGAGTGTGGACCCTGGAGCATGCTACCTTGTGCAAAGTTCAACTGGGGTTTTTCTCTCAAATCTGATGTGCTTCTGCGGCACGTCTCATCACGTAAGTAGTTTGTATGGCTGGCGCATTCATTCTCAGAGCCGCTTCTGTATCATCTGGTAACCATTTAATCTGTGCTAGGGAGGAGTATGAATTGTTTTCTTATATAAAGTAGTACAACTCTTGAAGTGGAAGCCTTACTAATAGGAAGAAAAGACCCTGTATTCCTGCTTGAACTTTTCAGTGTCTAAAATTCTGCTAATCAGCTTGGAATGAACAGTATCGCTCCATCAGCTTAGTAACTGTTTCTATTAAAAGCAATATATGCTTCCAGGTGCTATATATTATACCCAGATACATAGAGAGAGAATGGTAAATACAACCAATACAATATCTTCCACTTACTATCTGTATAATACCTTAAGAGTGTATGATTTTACAGAGGAAGGTATTTTATTCTTTGCACCGTAGAGCTTACCATGCTTATTAGTCTTAATACAACAAATACAACGCGCAAAAGGCTGTAATATTGATAAACAGTGTGGAAAATCCTACTGCGTTTGCTGTTTGTCAGTTTATTCTTGGGACAGTAAGTCTGGCATCTTGGGTACTTTGAAATGTTCAAAAGAAGTTTGAAGATGTCAGGCAGGGATGAATTCTGTTTGATTCTTTACCAAAAAACCACCAAAAATCAGCTGGCTAGCTGCGTTTTGTATTAACCAATCTGTGCAGGGAAATTCAGATCAGGAATTTAAAGCTGAGCGAGAGTATTATTCTTGCACAAAGCTCCGTTCAGCAGTCATTGAGGAGGCTAGGAGAGATAAGAGGGAAGGCTATTTGTAATGTGCTTCCCTCCCCCGTTTTTTCTTGTACTCTGTTGAAAAGACCTGCCAGTTTGACAAATACCATCAGCAAGAAAGGAATTATTGTATCTCCAGCCCTCAAGGATTGCTTATCTCAAAACCAGCCTTTATTATGGTTTTATGGTTTTCCTTTGGCATTAAATCTCGCTTTTTCTTAAATAAATTTCCGAGTACAGGAAACACTGTATATTTGTATGTATGTTTGTAAAAATACAAAAAATAATGTACAACACTTTCCAAGATCAGATGAAAATTTAGTGAGGGTTTTTAAAAATGGTTCCCTTTACCATCGAAGGTATATGAGCTCCAACATGCTGTTTCTGTTAACGTGCAATGACTTACACTAGCAAGAACTTGATTTTACAGTATAACAGCAAGATTTTACTGGTTGATTCTAGCAATAAATTGTTTTCTTTTTATAGCTTTTAAAATGGAAATATTTTCTTGGAATAGAAATGGGATTCACTATTGCTGATCACTTATTTCCAATAGATAACATTGCTCTTAGTCTGAATTTCTTACATAGTTCAAACACCATGGAGTCATCCAATGCCAGTGTTATGCTATGATATGGGGAATACACAACTCTTATATTTAACACTACTCCTACCTTCATCTGAATTTTGTGATGATAAGTAATTTATTGGTGCCATAGTACTGGGATCTCTTCCGTTGAAACTGTTTCAAGAACATCATCTCTCTGACATGTATGTGCTCTCACCATTGTGTTCAAGTAAAGAAAATAGAAAAAGAAGAATTGTGAGAATAAAGTGTATTAATAGTACCACAAATTACCATAAATTACTAATACCATATCAATAATATAATACATAATATAATACAATAAATTAATAATACCGTAAATAATATTAACAATGATAGTGACAGAAAGTAGAAGTTGGGACAAGAGGTAAGATTTTGAGAATGCATTAGTTTTGTAAGACAGAATGATGTTGAAACTATTGCTGTTTGAACCATCTGTGTTACTCTGGTAATAATGTGCTTTTAGCTTCTGTTTCCAATTTATAAAAAGATATAATTAATTTATCTTCACAGCCACAGTCTCACTCTGACTCTTTTTGTGGGCTCAGGCTGTGATTCTGTGGAAGCCGAAGTCAATCTAGTGGCTTATTACTGCAGTTTTGCTGATAGTCGTGATGTCTGTCCCCTCTCATGTGCCAAGTCCATCCTTGGTTGTGACCTTGCACGGAGCCGTTCCAGCATGGTGCGCTAACGGGACACTAACTGGACAAAGTGCTGCTGTGAATGATCTTCTGCGTTAGAAGTGCCAGAACAGCAGCACTAGCAGAGATGAGCTGTTCTGACAGTGGGGACGAGAACAGGACCAGTGTAGTCAGCAGTTTGAGTAACTGAGGCTCTATGTGACACCAGCCTGGAGGACAATTTTTTCCTCTTGGATTTCCTAATATCCATTTTTGTTGTTTTAAGCTAAGGAGGGAGGGAGGAGGAGTGTTTGGATATCTTTTTTTTTTTTATATTTTTATTTTTTAACCTTAAGCAGACTTCCTTGAAATATGTGGCCTGATGGTTATATTCCTTTAGTTTTCAGTCATATCTGTGACTTGTGTAAATTATTCCAAATTTTAAAATTAAGCAAGTATACCTTAATTAGATGTGACTGTCACTGGAATCTTACAAGTGAATAAATTCAGCAATATTAGGTCAAAATCAACCTGCATAATAATTGCATTAAGACCTGGAAACAGATTTCGGATGTGTTTGAAACTGGCTGTGAAGGCAGAGAACTGTATAATGAAGAAACGCTTTTGTGAGTGTCTTCTGGCCTTGATAAAATGCTGTGATAAGTAAGTGTTGCTGATGGGCTCTTGGAGCACCTGCTCAAGAAATGCATCTAAAAGGGGTACCTGTCAATTTATTCTTGAGCCATGCAAATATAGCTCTTAGACTTACTCAGAGGCAGTGACTACAGTGTGCTCAAATCCTGCAGTTTCTAGAAGTGTCTGGAATCTTTATGCATATTAATCCAGAAAATCCATCAGTGATGCCTTTAAAAGGGAGAGGATCTACCTGAAAATTCAAAGCCTAGATAAAAAGAAATAAAAAGACTCAAAAATTATGAAATGGCATTACGGAGTGTATTTAAAGAATGATGATGTGTATGTCACTGACCTGTGATGTAAGTTCATAAATGTGTATCACTGTAAATAAAGACTTTAGGAGGACCCTCTGAAGTCCAAACAAATAACATATTTAAAGAGCAGAATAAAGCAGGTTATTAGAGTAGAAAAAAACAGCTTAGCTTTCACCTAGTGACAATGGACAAAAAAAAGAGTCTGTCAAATTCTGCTGGTTTTCGCTTTCACCTAGTGACAATGGACAAAAAAAAGTCTGTCAAATTCTGCTGGTTTTGCAAAACAATTAAAAATAAAACTCTAGAAACTAATGTTAAGAATAGTTTTAAATACGTCAGAAGTTTTGTTTCAGAGTTCATGAGACCAGTAGGTGATGAAAGCATGTTAAGAACATTTGAAGGTTAGGAGGTGTGTAGATGGTCTGTTTTTTACAATGGGGACAGCGGAGGTTACCTTCACTGATGCCTCTGGGAAAGGAGGATAGAGAGGCAATAAAGTTAGTTGATACCTAAAATACACAAGAGTGTCTGATAAAATCCATTTTGGATAAATTTTGCTGAAAACTTTTGAAATTATTTTATAATGTGTTGTAGACATATTATTTCATATGCTTTTGTTTTGTCTTTCAGCTTGTGATGAATGGAAGATTTTACCAAAACCAAATTTGCATCGAGATGTCAACAGATTTGGTCACACTGCTGTTGTCAGTAATGGGTAAATGAAGTATATTTTCAATTTTTCTGACTGTTTTCCTGAATGATAAAAACTGTGGCAGAAATTATACCTTTGTGAAGTATGGTTCAATGGTACACAGCTGATGCAATTTATGAACATGAAAAGTAGTGCTCATCAGAGACTTAACTTGTCTTAGGTAATCAGTACAGCTAATCATCAATTCGACATGCTGTGGAATCTGCTCAGTGGCATTTTATATGAACCTTCTACTGTACTGAGATCTTTCCTCAGTATTGTGAAGTGCAGTGAATTTGAAATTCAGTACCAACTATAGTCCTCACTTAGATGTAACAGAAATCTTTTTCTCGCATGCTATAATTCATTATTCTTCTACGATCGTAAGATCAAAAACGTCTAACTAAAATTTGCTTGGAAAAAGCAAGATTTTGAAAATGCTGATACAATGATCATTGTTAACCACTTGCAGGAAAAAGCCTGCTGGCATCTAGACTGTATGCTGTATATTGCTTATGCTCTAGAAAATGTAGCGTACTTCTATGTCATTCGCTGAGTGAAGGGGCTCAGTAAAGCTGCATCATCTAGAAACAGGAGACAGAGTGGACCTGGAGTTTGCTGGATGTGGTGGCTGAACTCTCTGCTTCTCCCACCCCAGCCCCGCAAGATAAAATTGTGGGACAATGTCTCCTTTTTCGTGGAAAAGTTGTAGAAAACCATAGTCAGGTTTGAAGATGTTTCTACTGTTTGCTTGTGTGAGTTTTACTGTTGCTGGTTGCCGAATGGTCTGTGTCTGACAGTTACAGTACTACAGGTGTCTCTGCCGTAATGTGTACTAATGATCATTCCTCTTCTACGTTATTCATCATCCTAATAAATTCAGTGTTTAAGTATATGGAGGCAACTTACAGATCCTCTACATATGGTCAGAAATAATGGAGGTGATAACTAAGACTACAAATAGGAGTTTACCAGATTTTAACAAAAATAGCAGTAAGTTGTACACAGAGAAATTAATGAAATTAATCAATGAACAAATAACTTCATTAAGAGAAAATTGCTTGGACTTAATGAATGTAGCAACTGATAGTTTTCCATTCTCATAGTATTTTTAGTAGGGTTTTATGTACAAAAAAATGTAATATGAGATACTATCCAAAGATTTCTGTTACAGGTAACTGTATGATTGATTCTGTTTTAAGAGTGTATGATACAACAGATATACAGGTTCTCTATTAATGTCTTTTTCCTGAGGCTGTTCTTAATTTTAAATGGGAAGGATAAGCTCTCAAGTCTAGTCTAGTTCTGATGTCAGCAGCTACCACACTGGAAATGTTACCAAAAAGAGATATCCAGCTCTCAACTATTGCTAGCAGTCTTTGAAATCTGCTTGAAGAAAAATGTTCTCATTTCCTGCAGACCATTATTTCACACTCAGTTCTCATTATCTAACTCCAAAAATGAGTCGTTTCCTCCATAGCTCTTTCTTCTTTCTAGACATTTGGTAGATGTCACTCACTAATACATATCGCGCAGTCCACTTTGAGCAATCTTTTTGTTAGTGTAAACTTCCATGGAGAAGTACATTGAAAAACTATTCAATAATGGAACCACTGACAGAGTCTTTATTAGAAAAGAGAGATGAAGAATGTTTTTATAATATTATGTGATATTTTTTAATTGTGTATCAAGACAGGAAATAAAGAAAATGTATGTATAGCTACAGTGAGTTACATTTACTTGCTTTTTCCTAATAGGTCTATGTATATATTCGGAGGTTTTTCGAGTGTTCTTTTGAATGACATCCTTGTGTACAAGCCTCCAAACTGTGAAGCATTCAGAGATGAAGAACTGTGTAAAAACGCTCGTCCAGGGATAAGGTGTCTGTGGAACAAGAAACATTGCGAATCCTGGGAATCAGGACATGCTAATAACATCCTTCGAGCAAAATGTCCTAAGAAAACAGGTAACTGAATTCTAATCTTACAGTGTCGGATTTGCAATGCCATGTAGGAGATAGGGGAGGGGAAAAAAACCCAGATGCCCCTCTCAAAAAAAAAAA